AAAAAAAAAAAAAAAAAAAAAAAAAAAAAAAAAAAAGAAAGAAAGTATAAACGACATTCTAAGAGCCCATACTTTTCTTCAGTTTTTTTTAAACTTCAATTTAGCTTCAGGGATACATGTGCAGGTTTGTTATATCGGTAAATTGAGTGTCTCTGGGGCTTGGGGTACGTATTATTTCCTTACCCATCTCATAAGCATAGTACCCAATAAGTAGTTTTTCGATCCATACCCTCCTTTTACCCTCCACACTCAAGTAGTCCTAGTATCTATTGTTCCCTTCTTTTTTTGTGATACGGAGTCTCACTCTGTCGCCCAGGCTGAAGTGCAGTGGTGTGATCTCAGCTAACTGCAATCTCTGCTTCCTAGGTTTAAGCGATTCTCCTGCCTCAGCCTCCTGAGTAGCTGGGATTATAGAAATGCGCCCCTCCCAACCTCAGGTGATCCACCTGCCTCAACCTCCCAAAGTGCTGGGATTACAGGCATGAGCCACCACGTCTGGCCTGGTTATATCTTAATTACGGCATTCTTGAATTATTCCATGCTGTAGTATTTTATTTCCGTGAGGCCATTACCAGTAATGTTTTAAAGTTTCCCTCTGTTGCATAATCTGCTTCTTCAAAGTTATGTTTTGTATAAAAGACTGTCCTCCTAAATCTGGTAACCCTTTGCCACTTACATACAAAAGTGGGTGGCTGTGTGCGGTGGCTCACACCTCTAATTCAGCACTTTGGGAGACCTCACCTGAGGTCAGGAGTTCAGGATCAGCCTGACCAACATGGCGAAAACTTATCTCTACTAAAATTACAAAAATTAACCACGTGTGGTGGTGCATGCCTGTAATCCTAGCTACTTAGGAGGCTGAGGCAGGAGAATTGCTTTAACCTGGGAGGTGGAGGTTGCATTGAGCTGAGATTGCACCATTACACTCCAGAGTGAACAACAAGAGCAAAACTCTGTCTAAAAAAAAAAAAAAAAAATGGCTGGGTACTGTGGCTTCACACCTGTAATCCCAGAACTTTGGAAGGCCTAGGCAGGTGGATCATGAGGTCAAACGATCAAGACCATCCTGGCCAACATGGTGAAACCCCATCTCTACTAAAAATACAAAAAATTAGTTAGGCGTGGTTGTGCACGCCTGCAGTCCCAGCTACTTGGGAGGCTGAGGCAGGAGAATCGCTTGAGCCCGTGAGTCAGAGGTTACAGTGAGTTGAGATTGCACCATTGCACTCCAGCCTGGAGCCAGGGCAACAGAGCAAGACTTCAACTAAAAAAAAAAGTGGGCACACTGACAAGCTAATTAGAAGCTCTACAAAGATAGGAAGGGCTTGCTGACTGGGCTACAAATGTGTAGAGTGATTTGCCTGGGTCATTTATTAGGGCAATCCCGCATTCTTCCTGTCTCCATTCCCTATCCCATTGTACTGATCAAATTTCTCAGAAAGATTCTTCTCCTTGGAGATTTTAAGCCTGGCTGTCATATTTAGAGGGTGTGAGTTTCATCATTCACATAATGACCTTCTTTTGCATATATTAAATAAAATCCCTGTTTACAAGTGCACTAGGAATAAACCTTCAATCTTCTGTTGGAGCGGGGGAGAGACAGGTTTATAGTGCTTTGTGAATTGACGTTCAACCACTTCTCTTGTTTTCACCCCCTTCACAAACAGAAGACATTAATGTCTTCTAAGCCTCGGATAACTTTTTTGGTGCATATAAGATTGGTTCTTAGCTCCTCCCACTGTTAATTTAGGATTCAGCTCTCTTGGATTCACAGAAGAAATGAATCACCCCTCCACCTGCTT